CACTCAAAACTGAGGGGGGTAGAGAGAAGGTGGCTAATCCTGGGAAATACCATAGGAAATGTGACAGAGGTAGGAGGAGGACCAGGAGGGAGTGATGTGTGAGATCCAATAAAGAATTTAAAAAGACATTATCTAAAGTGCTTAGTGCTGTTAGGGGTTGTAGGTGACCTTAGCACCCAGAGGTTCCCTAAAAAGAGGTGTCTGGAAGTATAATTGCAGAGGGTTGAAAATAAGAAAATGGCAGTAATAGTGAACCTGGGCTAGTCTTTCAAGGAGTCTAGCTCTGAAAGGAAGGAGTGAAGGTATTAGCTAGAGCAAATGTAGGTAAATAGGAGTTCCTTCTTTGGAGGAAACTTTTTCCTGCATTTGTTAGATATTGACAACAAGGTTTCCCCAATACCCTATCCACTGATAGAAGAGGTCCAGGAGCACCCTCAGGGTCTGGGAAGGGTGGGTAAGAATAGAGGCAGGACTGGTGGTGGTGGTGATGCTGTTGCTACTGCTGCTTAACAGTTAACATTTATTGAATGTATATACCAGGTGCCACATGCTGAATTTAAATAATTTGCCCAAGATCTTGTAGTTATTATGTGGTCAATCTGGATTTGAACCTAATCTAGAAGCAGAGAAAGGAATAAGTATAATGAGCAGTTGGTACCAGCGGGTCCATTTGATCTGAGACCCTATTTCTTCTGAGAAGATTCATAGTCCTCAGCTGGCTTCTGACTTCCAAATGCCTGCTGTGGTGTCAGGAACATGCTTCCTTGTTTAACTTTCCACTAGTAACTACCCCCTGTGGTTTCCTTTAAGACTTTTTCTTCACATAGTTGAGGTTTTCTAAAATGATATTTTTTATTGCTGAAAGTAAGGAAATAAACGTACATTTAAAAGATTCTCAGGGGCACCTGGGTGACCCAGTCAGTTAGGCTTCCAACTCTTAGTTTCTGCTCAGGTCAGGATCTCAGGATCATGGGATCAAGCCCCATGCCAGGCTCCACCTTTGGCACAGAGTCTACTTGGAACTCTTTCCTTTTCCCTCTCCCTCCTCCAGTTTGTAGCAATGTGAACTCTATGATTCAGGGAGCAAAATTACAGATAGAGGCATTGGACACCTCAACTGAGCTTTCATGAATACCAGGCCTCAAGTTTGGATAGTGATAGTGCAAGTGTAACTATCTCTGAATTTTTCAAAGTTGAAATTTATATTTTTCTTTGCATTTGTAGTTAGCAATATGCAAGATTTTAGTATAAATGGTAGTTTAATTGTACATGGAGTTTTAAGACTAAGGAAGATGACTTGCAAAGAATTTCTGAACCTGATAAAGGTTCCAAAGTCAAATATTTACAATGACAGATTTTTCTTTTTTACTCAGTTTTGGTTTCTCCAAACCATATCTTGCTTTTCTGGTTTGGCTATTCAGAATTTGACTTTGTTTATTTCTTGCCTCAAAATTCAGGGAATCTGTTTTTATAGTAATTTTTGCTCTTCTTGTCATATGGCTGCATATATAGTATTCAGTCTGTTAGAGGAGAAGGAAGTCATATATCATGGATCTACTTAAAGAAATAGGAATTTTATGGATCCACAAATACACTCACAGGAAACCTGAACCATATGACTGGGACCATATTTATTTCTTCTGGATTTCCTATAAATTGCCTAGAATGGTAAAAAGTACACACTAAGTATTCAGTAAATGGTAGGTAGAAAATCTGGAGAACACTAAGTAACCATACTTCTTTTTTTTTATTAAGATTTTATTTATTTTCTTGAGAGAGAGAATGAGAGCAAGCACAGAGGGAGAGGGAGAAGCAGACCTCTGCTGAGCAGGGAGCCTAAAACAGGGTTCAATCCCAGGACTCTGGGATCATGATCCAAGCCAAAGGCAGACATTTAACCAACTGAGCCATGCAGGCACCCCACAACCATGCCTCTTAAGTCTTTTTTAGATTAAAAGCAAGATACATACTAATTTATATCTCTGACCCATTTTTGTTTAGGTTCAAGTCAGCCATGTATAAGCTAAACCAGCACATATATAATAGTAGCTGGAAATAGGAAGTTGCTGTTCATTTCTAAGTGTATTTCCTTTTCTGTGGTAATTGTATGTGCAGCTATTTTTTCACAATTCAGAAAAGGCAAGCACTATCTTTCAATAATCATCTTCATGTGTCAGCAGAAATGTATATTTAATGAGTACTGTTTGGAAATTAATATTAAAGTTAAATCCCCAGGCATGAAAAGTTTTACCAGTGTGTTTTTGTCTGTACTTGTTCATGTTTTCTCTTTGTAAGTATGCCTCTACATCTGGTTTTTTAAAAACTGGAGACTCCCTCTGTTAGAGAGCACCTATGGACTCTCTAGTGAAGTATTACATAGGAATTCATAAGATTGTCTTTTGCCCTGCCCTCCCCTTTTTTGTAAACATGTGCACTTTGGCTCAGAGGAGTGAATTTAATAGCCTTTTTTGTTAGAGGACAGAAAGCAAGGCAGCATATTACAAAAAACATGCACTTAGGAGACCAAACGCTCTTAGCCAAATGCATGATCTTGGGTAAATTATCTAACCTTACAGAGCCTAAGTCTCCTCATGTATAAAGTGGGGAAATGATACGTACTTCATAGGACGTTTGGGTGGATTACATGGGATAACAGGAATATAAGTGTCTTGCATGTAATGGGTAGCCAATAAATATTGACATCTGTTTCCTTTCTTCAGTTCCCCCTGTTCCAGGCTTCTAGGCCTCCTCTTGACTTTATTTGATCATTTCCCAAGATTTATTAATTTCTTTTGCATTTCCACAATTCACTGACTTCTCATCTCCTAGATATTTTTCTTACCTGAATATTCTCTATTCTATCTGAAGATAAGCTGAAGAATCAGGTAGGGTTTGTGTTATTCACATAATTTTATTAAAGATGGTTATGTATGTATAACTATATATATATAAACATATATATATATACGCCTCCTATATATTTTACATACTGTTTTCAAAAAAGTTTTTACTCACTTTGTGGCCACTGTGAACACATGGTTATAGTGCTATATATTGTTTGAACCTTATCATTTAAAAAAATGTATTTTGTGTTGGAAATAATTTAATTAATACTTAATAAGAGTTTCAGCATGGTGTATATGTTATATGATTGCTTCTTAGGGATAATAAATACATGTGTGATGTAGATAATTTGATTTTGATGTCTAATATATTGCATGATTACTCTTTCTCTTAGTTAAAATAGTTTAAAAAGTGTTTTTTCTAGGTGTTGGGGATATGGCAATAAACGAAGCTGAGTATTTGCCTTTGAAAAGCTTGCTTTCTAAAGTGAAATTTTCTTTTCATATATAAAAATTTTTTATGATGCTTTTTTCTTATTTTGCTCATACTTGTGTATATACCATGAATTAAGGAGCTTGTATTGTAATAGAATATTACATTTTGGGGGAATATTTAAAGCTGTAGCTCAAGTATTTGTGTCCTAAGATTTATTCATTTCAAATACCAAATTTAAAATTTTAAAATGCCCAAATTCAGGGTTCCATGGTGGTTCAGTTGGTTAAGTATCTGCCTTCGGCTCAGGTCATGATCCCAGGGTCCTAGGATCTTGAGCCCCGTGTCAGGGAGCCTGCTTCTCCCTCTCCTGCTGCTGCTCTTCCTGCCTGTACTCTTTCACTCTCTCTGTCAAATAAATAAATAAAATCTTTAAGAAAAATAAATAAAATGCCAAAATTCTTAGATCAATAATGATTTCCTTACATTTTCCATGTTCCACAAAGTTACTATTTTGTTACAACTTTATTACATATTATGTATAGAACATACTGGTTTTGGAGGAATAACATTGGCTTACAGGTTGAAAATAGTTTTTGTTCATTCACTAAATATTTTTTGAGGACCTTATATTCTCTTAGGTTCTCTCTTAAACTAGCCTGGCACAAGAACTTAAATACAGGTCCAAAGCTCAATCTGTTTCCTTTCCTTCATGCCATGTATTGAAGTGGAGACCAGAACTGTGGACATGAATAGATTAGTCAAGACAGTGAGGATTTATTTGGATTTAGTAACTAGGACTTGTCATTACTGACCTGTGAAAGAATTTCTTTAAAATGTGTTTGGAAGAAGAAAAGCTTATTACAGGGGACTAAGGAAACACAATAATAAGGAAATTGAAGTATCAAGTATAAGGTGATTCTTCTTGGTATTTTGGTAGTGAATAGAAGGAGATTCATGCAAGGGCTTGAAAGTATACCAGAAACTAGGAGAACTAACTTCAAAATAAGGGATTTGTGAGGGTTGTAAGAGCAAGGAGTTGGGGATCAAGTGATTAAATACCATGAAGAGAAAGGAAGACATGAAATCATAATGTCCTAGAGGAAACAAAGAAAATAGTTATTAGGACATAAGGGGATTGATTGGGCTTAGAAGAGTAGAAACAAAACTTTTCATTTGATGCAAGAGAAAGACATGAGAATGAATGAAACCTTTTAAGATGGAGAAATGGGATGGTTATGATCACTCCCAAAGATACCCTTTAATCTTCCCATAAGGTAGAAGGCAGGGTCATTTGCTGAATGGAATAGGGTGAGAAGGAGATGGGAACTTTAACAGGGAAAAACATTCTGTTGTGGAAACATACTTGGAAGTTTGTGAGTTGCAGCAGTGATACCCCAGTTGAGGTTAGTGTGGATTTTATAGCAATCAGTAATAGTCTAATGTTCCAAAGCAAGAGTTGGCAAACTACAACTTGAGGGCCAGCCATATCCAGCCCATGTAGCTTGTGACCCAAGAATAGTTTTTATATTCATAAAGGATTTAAAAAAAACAAGCAAACAAAGAAACAAAGAAGAATGTGTAATAGAGACTGTATGCGGCCTTCAAAGCCTAAAATATTTACTATCTGGGCCCTTATAGAAAAAGCTTGCCGACTCTTGTTGTATAGTTCAAGACCAGAGAAAACAAATGATAGTATGCCTCAAAGGTGGGAGCCGACATGCTGGATATGATCAAAGATCAAGGAATTTGCGTGTCATCCTTGCACAGGGACCATGCTAATCTTCTCTGTATCATACCAGTTTTGTATATGTGCTGCTGAAGTGAACACAATCAAAGATCGGGGGATGATAAAGTTAGGGATACTAGTTAGAGGGGTATTGGTAAAAGTGGATAGGAAGTTGATAGGGAGTAAAGTAAAGCCAGAAGAAAGTTAATAGATTGGACGAAAATGGAGAGGGTTTGTGGCTAGATCTCATAATGAACATGAAAAGCATGGCCATTTGGTATGAAGCAAAGATGGCAAGTAAGAAAATTGGAGGTAGGGATCCCTGGGTGGCGCAGCGGTTTGGCGCCTGCCTTTGGCCCAGGGCGCGATCCTGGAGACCCGGGATCGAATCCCACATCGGGCTCCCGGTGCATGGAGCCTGCTTCTCCCTCTGCCTATGTCTCTGCCTCTCTCTCTCTCTGTGACTATCATAAATAAATAAATTAATTAAAAAAAAAGAAAATTGGAGGTAAAGGAAGGGGGCACGGGGCACCTGGGTGGCTCAGTCCGTTGAGCATCTGCCTTGGGCTCAGGTCGTGATCCCCGGGTCTTGGGATTGAGCCCTGGATCAGGCTCTCAGCTCCATGGGGAGCCTGCTTCTCCCTGCCTCTGCCTACTTCTCTCTCTCTGTCTCTCCTTGTTTCTCATGAATAAATAAATCTTGGAAGAAAGAAAGAGAAAGAAAAAGAAAAGAAAAGAAAAAAGAAGGCACAGTGGTTATCTTGGAGATAGAAAAATTCCAGGAATAGCTAAGTGTAACCATTTTAGGGAGGAGCTAAACTCTCCAGCGATGAGGTCAGGATGATGAAATATCAGGATTGTGATGTTTGCATTTCATAATAATGACCGGGAGACAGTGTAAGTATAAATAGTGTGAATTAGGTTACTGGAGTTACTGAAGAAAGCAGAAGTGAGTGTAGAGTAGGAGATAGATGACAGGGAGGAGGTAAGGAGACTGGTTTAAGTAGGTGAATTACTGTAGATAATTCTACAGTAATGGTGGGAGGAAAGTGATGGTGGCAGTGAAGTGGTCTTTCCTTTCCCCTGGCAGCTGAAAGAAGGCTGTTACTTACTCTTGGTTGGGTAACTGATAAAAAGTAGATAAAAAGGCTGTAGGGAAGATGTGGTATTCTCCGTCGAAGGTTGATTTATACATAGTCTTGGAGTACAGGAGGAGCAAAGCAGTAGATTACTTTCAGGTTGTAAAATGAAGCCCTCAAAATAAAAAGTAGTTGAGTTTTGTATAAATGTGTAAATGTTTTACTTACACAGCTCTTCCTATAAAGAATTTTTTTCTTTTTTTAAATTTTTTATTTATTATTTATGATAGTCACACACACACAGAGAGAGAGAGAGAGAGAGAGGCAGAGACACAGGCAGAGGGAGAAGCAGGCTCCATGCACCGGGAGCCCGACATGGGATTCAATCCCGGGTCTCCAGGATCGCCCCCTGGGCCAAAGGCAGGCGCCAAACCGTTGTGCCACCCAGGGATCCCTATAAAGAATTTTTGACATTAGTACTTCTTACTATGTAAAATTCATGTTTTTTTGTAATAATAAAATTAAGAGATGCTTAACTGACTGAGCCACCCCAGTGCTCCCTGAAGCTTCATTTATTTTATTTTATTTTTACTTTTTATTTTTTAAAAAAGACTTTGTTTACTTATTGGGGGGGGGGCAGGAGGAGGGACAAAAGGAGAGGGAGAAGCAGGCTCCCTTGCTGAGCAGGGAGCCCAATGTGGGGTTTCATCCTGGCGCTGCAGGATCATGACCTGAGCCAAAGGCAGATGCTTAGCCAACTGAGCCACTCAGGCGCCTCTGAAACTTAATTGATTTGAGGGGGTGGAGAGAGAGAGAACAAGTGAGTGAGAGCACAAGAGCAGAGGGAAGGAGAAACAGACGCCCCACTGAGTAGGGAACTTGATGTGGGGCTAGATCCCAGTGTCCTGGGATCATGACCTGAGTCAGAGGCAGAATGCTTAACCGACTGAGCCACTCAGGCACCACTGAAACTTCATTTTATTTTATTTATTTTTAAAGATTTTATTTATTTATTCATGAGAGACACAGAGGGAGAGGGAGAGGGGCAGAGACACAGGCAGAGGGAGAAGCAGGCTCCATGCAGGGAGCCTGACTTGGGACTTGATCTCGGGTCTCCTGGATCATGCCCTGGGCTGAAGGTGGTGCTAAACCACTGAGCCACTGGGGCTACCCTGAAACTTCATTTTAAATGGTACTTTTATTTTAAGTGGTTTTTAATGAATAACCTTTGGAATATATTTAAAGATTGAATTAAATTTATTTAGAGTCCTAAGAGGACAGTACCTTGTGTCATTTACTTTAGTTTTATTTTTGTGTTGTGTTTTTTTTTCCTCAGTGCCTGTTACAAAGAATATAGCAAAAACACAGTCTTCTGTTTCCAAAGCACCCCAGCATTCAATGCAGACTCCACAGAAAACTGCTGTAATATTACCAACACAGCAGATCAGGAAATCAAGCCGCATTAAGCCACCTCCACAGACTTCAGTCCCTACAAAGGGAAGTGCTGTTAAAAATCTCACACCAAGGAAGAAAGGCCCCAAAAAGGTTAGTTAATCTCCTCCTAATTTGTATTATAGATCTCGGCAGTGCCTTATTTATAACAGAGTTAGGATTTACTAAGAGTATGATGAGGCCCTTTAGGAATGTACTATATGAAAAGCATATATAAAGCTTTTTAAAGCCCACATAGCCATCAAGATTGGTATTCCTTTTCTTGGGTAAACTTAAAACTTTGAATACAATGTTCAACTTTTTCAAAACCACATTGGAAATACTGTGTGGGTGTATTTATGTTCAGGCCAGTTTATTTGGAAGTAAGTATACGTTAAAAATGAATGTGAAGTGAGTTTTACTGCACATAAATTACGCTTCAATAAATCAGGTGGAAGAGGAATCAAAGTGATAAATTCAATGATGCTAGGCCACCTAACTGACTCCCCCAAAGAAAACAATTTTAAAACCTGGAAATAATAGAAAAAACAACTACTTGAAGATACTGGAAAGTGAATGGAAGCAGACACACTGTGGTTGGGGGGAAGTACACACAGGAGGTGGGGTGTTATACAAAATTCTGTATCTGGCAAGAATACTCCTCAAGAGTGAGGGTAAAGGTAAAGTAAAGACATTTTCAGATAAAAGCATACTTAGAGAATTCCACACTGGCAAACAAGCACTATAAGAAATACTGAAGGAGGTTTATCTCTGGATAAATGTGAATAACTTGGTTTATGTTTTTTCCCCTCTTCATTTCTTTATAATAATGTGACTAAAGCAATAATTATATTATGGTCTTGTGGGATAATGTAATGTATAGCATGATGTAATACATTATTACATAACATCAATGCATAACATGATGTAATAATATGACACTTAAGAGTATAAAGGCTTTGAGTGGAGGATAGGGATATGGATTTCTGTCATTGCAAGGTTTCAACATTTTATGTTAAGTAGTACAATATTAAGTATAATAGTACAAGTAGTACTATGTGGGTTATACAGTATAATCCCTAGGGTATATTATAAAAACACAAATACAGAGAAGTATAGCTAAAAAGCCCAGTAGGAAAATAAAATAGAAAAAAAAAATAAAATAGAATTTTAAGGAATATTCAGTAAGTAATTGAAAAAGAAAAAAAAAGGAAAGGAGGAATAGAGGAATAAAATACAGAAGAGACAAATAGAAAAGAAATAATAAAGCGTATATCCAGACCCAAACATATTAATGATTACTTTAAAAGTTAGTAGACTAAACTTTCCAATTAAAAGACAGAGATTATAAAAATGGATTTTAAAAAGACTCAAATATATGTACTACAAGAGATATATTCTTTTTTTTTCTTTTATAAGAGATGATATATTTTTAAGATTTGTTTATTTAGAGGTAGAGAAAGAGAGCAAGCAGGGGGAGGAGCAGAGGGAGAGGGAAAGAGAGAAACTTCAGCAGACTCCTTGCTGAGCTTGGAGCCCACTTTGAGGCTGGGATCATGACCTGTCTGAAACTAAGAGTTGGATACTTAAACATCCAGGGGCCCCACAAGAGATATATTCTTAATATAAAGACATAGAACCTTCCTAGATCTCATTAGAACTAAATTAAATTTCAGCAGTATTACTTAAACATTTCTGAGTTCAGCCATTTGATATCAATATATATAACATTTCTATTTTATTTTAATTAATGTTTACAGTATAGAGCAAAAATGACAATGCCATTTTGATTTTAAAATGCTTAAATTAATGGGGCAGTCCCGGTGGCTCAGCAGTTTAGTGCTGCCTTCTGCCCAGGGCGTGATCCTGGAGACCCGGGATCGAGTCCCGTGTTGGGCTCCCTGCATGGAACCTGCTTCTCCCTCTGCCTGTGTTCTGCCTCTTTCTCTCTGTGTCTCTCATGAATAAATAAATAAAATCTTTAAAAATAAAATAAAATGCTGAAATTAATATTGGTACTTTTATTTCAAAAAGCATTCAAAAATTTTGTTTTTTTAAATTTTAAATAAAAATTAAAATACTGTCAACAACAGTGAATAGATTTCAAATATAAAATCATAAAGCAATGAAAAAATCAAATAAGCAAGTTATTGTAAATCATTAGATTAAAATTTTCAAATTTAGAATAAATTACATAAAATTAAGGAAAGTTGTGATATATGAAGGGAAATAATACTTTAAATGCATTAAAAAATTAGAATATATCAAGGATGTCATTGATGCATATATTTTTGTAAAGATTTGTTTGAGAGAGAAAGTGAAAGCGTGTGTAATGGGGATTGGAGGAGGAGGGAGAGGGAGACCCAAGCAGATTCCACTCTGAATGCTTAACGGGACATGGGGCTCAGTCTCATGACCCTGAGCTGAAGCCAAGACTCAGAGGTTTTAATTGACTATGTCACCCAGGCGCCCTTGATGCATATTCTTTTTTGATGCATATTTTTAATGTGTATTTTCCAGCTGTTGAAAAAGTCTTTGTGATTAGTTGCTATAAAGATATGAAATAACTTCATAAAGTTTCTCTTTACTCCT